GTCTTGAAAAAACTGGTATCGGGACACCCCTACTAGTAATATATTTACTGAGAAAAATGTTGACGTGCTCAATACTTATTTTACCTGCTGTATGTATTGTATAATGACAGATTAAGAACTGTTTAAAGCTTTCACCAAAGTCTGTGAATTTCGGCCATTTTCTGATGCTCACCCAAGCGTATCCCAGAGACCCTGTGGGGTCCCGGCTCGTCTGGATTTGGATCCGTTAACAGCAGCTCCTCCACTGAGCCCTCCAACACCGTCAGCCTGGGAGTGGACAGCAGCTCTGACTGTACAAAGAYCAGCGTTCAAAGACGTTTCACCTTTTTCACAGATTTGAAATCATAAGTGTCTATGTTTGCGTGATACCTGGATGAAATCCCGGTAGAGCTGGCGGTCCAGTTGGGCTCTTGGCCCCCACACGGCGGGCCCTTTTCTACGATTCAGGATGGAGAAATGAATCCCAGCCCAGTCTCCAGCTCGACCGCACAGCCCATCCAGAGCATCTACCTCCCTCACAAGGTGACCCTTCCCTATTCCTCCCAGAGATGGGTTACAGGACAGGGCGCCTGTCGGAGGACGGAGAGGAACGAATCGGACCAACTTTCAGAAYTACTTTTTAATCAAAGCCATTCTACTCACCCACGGTGTGTATTTTCTGAGTAACCAGGAGCGTGTCCACTCCCACCCTGGCTGCTGCAGCCGCRGCCTCAGTCCCCGCATGACCCCCACCCACCACGATGACATCGTAGCGCTGCCTGCTGAGGTGACCCACGTTCCTGGAGACCAGAAGCTGGAAACTCTGTGCAGGCAGGAGCTTCTTTGTCAACATGTGAGACGCACGCCTGTCAAAAGTTCAAGTGTTCATGAGATTTCACAAGCAGACAAGCTTTAAAGAAACACTGTCTAAAATATGGTGCACAAAGGATGTGTTGAGGATGATGCTCAGCCTCTARTACACCTATTTTTTGCTCTTTATTTGACTGAGTTTTAACTATTTTTTAACAYGTTGGCCATGGTGACCATCTTAAACTGGATTAAGTCCAACAGGTAAATCACTTGCATTTATCCAACTACTGCTCACTTTCTGGGAATTTCATTAAAATCCATCCAGAGGTTCACAAGATATTTTGCAAACAGACAGGGATAACTCTAACGGCAAAGTTTTAAACACAGATTTTGGTGCGATCAGTTAGAGCTGCTGTTCAGTTGTACATAAAAGGATTAGTTTCTGAGAGTTTCATTAAACTCCGTCCTGTGTTTCATGAGAAATTCTGCGAACAAACACGAMCTAACACGCACACAGAATCAGACATTTATGGTGTAAATGCGATAAAATTTCAAGTACTTACAGTTACTCTAGTAGAAGATAAATATAGTACTTTGTGTACTTTCCAGATTAATGGCAACAGATACTAAGACTCAGGTAAGTGAAGGTTCCCTATAAACTAATTTTATTATAAACTAATGTTCTTTATGGGGGCCGCCATGTTGCTTGTAGACCAGAAACCTTCTTCTTCTTCTATTAGTTTTTATTTAGCGGTTGGCAAACAACTTCAGATGCATTACTGCCACCTTCTGAATTGGAGTATGGATCAGAATCTGATTCCAATCCTTATACTGTATTATCATACATACTTACATAGCTAAACATAATAAAAAAAACTAATTTCTCTTTAAAAATTCCCTTTCATTTTAATCTATTTTTATTTATATCTAATTTTCTAACTTATTGCTGTCTTTCTTCTGTATATTTACATGWTCTACATTTTCAATTTGTCCACATCACATAATCTTGTTTCATGTTTTTTTTCCATTATTTTTAGTCTACTATTTAAACACGTATGTCCAAATCTCATTCTTGAAATAATATCCTCTTCTTTTTTATTCCTATAACATTCAGAATTGTTTTTTTCCCCCCCTCAAACTTTATTTGAAGACCAGAGTACCAGATTCGTAATACATAGTGTACAGGCGCACTAACATTTATTTTGTCTGTTTTGTGTCAAGTGAGTGAAAGTAAAAATTAAACTTAAAAGTAGATGTGACACAGATACGAAAAAGTGGAATTAAATAATTATTAAGACGGTACATTATAAACAGTGTTGTTTATTTGTGTGGCGAGCTGCCACGTGTATAGCAGAATCCGCAATARCTTGTTTATGTCATCTGCTTTAATCAAATTTTGATTTATTGGTTTGTTATTCCACGCACGCGCGCTCACTGGTTAGTGAAATACGCACGTGAACGCCCCCTCTTTCAGCCGGTGTTGTGCCGAAAAAAGAACCCCTGCTAAGAAAAAAAAGGAAAGAAAGAAAGAAAAACCTCACCGTGGGAAGCGCTTAAATTATGTTTAAAAAATCAAGATGCAAACTGACTGACGGCTTTCAAATTCCTTTAGGACGAGATTTTAAAATTTGTTTTAATGATGCTGCCATAATATTAACCCCGTTGTTTTTTTTTAACCAAAAAATGTACATTATTGTTCACTATCAGTTACCTGATTATTTTCATAAAAACATTTCAAGAAAAACAGAAATACATTTATTTATTTGTGCATGATCTCCCTCAGACGCACTTAGCGTGGCCGGGGTGCTTTTTTCAACACAACACCGGTTACAGTCAGCAGCGCGCGGATTGTCAAGTGAACCTACCGAAAGGTGGAGTTGACCGACCGCAGCAGGTTTTCAGAGAGAAACCTGAAAATTCTCAGCCTCCTTAAAGCAACCACTGACAATAACGCCGAGTCCTTAATTCATTTACAGAAGAGCCAGCGGCGCCGGAGTTAAGACGACAAGACAGAGAGGGGAACAGTAAAACCCAGAGGGAAAAGCGCCCGAAGTGAGCTTCAGGATCAAGAGCTACCGCTAACTTAGCCAGTTATTGCTAAATAATTACACGGAAACTGATATTCCGTAATTTGTTGGTCTCTTTGACATAAATTGTGTAGTAACGAAGTAGGTGGTTTTGGGGGAAATTTGTTAACTTCTTTGTTACATTTAATTTAATTATCGAAGGGTTTTTGCCTCAACATTTTAGGCCACAGGCGAGAGTAGCCGGTCTTTTTTGAGGTTACACCGGCGCTGGTCTGGTGCTGCTGCTAAAGATAGTTGTTCAGCTTCTTCTCGAGAGGTATCAATTTTAATAAGTTAGATCAAATTTGGTACTTTCTAAGCCTTCGCAATGCTGAAACCCCAGCAGCAACCCGGCTCTGGCGGGAGAAAAACGTCAAACGGAACATCAGGCCCGGGCGGCATGTCTTCCCCAGTCAGCGGCAGTCGGACACCGGGTGGAAGGTAAGCGAGACGGGGTTGTCTTAGTAGGGCAGTCCGGGGCTTGTCTTGTGTTTGTCAGGCCTACCGGTTAAAGCGCTACGCTCTCAGTGGGCGTGACTTAGCTTATGTTTTAGCCAATGAGATATATTTATTCTTGATGGACAGTAAAAGTGGACCAATAAAAATGRTCGGTTTGTTTTGTCAATACAGAGGGACGGGTCTAAATAGGTGAAAACAATAAAGCAGCAAAGCGTAAAGGAGATATAAAGTTTTATCAGGCCTGTCAATGCTAAATCTCCGAATGTACGTATCTCTTGTTATAAATGCGTGATGGCGACATTTTCGTAGTAAAGAAGGTCGTTTCATGCTATATTTTTAGCTGTGTGTAAAACCTCTTTATTGCGTCGTCTTTGTTTTGTAACCCTGGCTATGAATGTTACAGCGTTACAGATGGACATCAGGATTCTTTGTTGAATGTTGATTTAATATCARTGAATGGTCTTCTTGAGTGTTTGATTTAAATGAGCCAAATGTATTTATATTCAATACGAAAAATATACATAAACAGTTCTCTTTTATCTTACCAGAAATCGACCTTCTGCAAAACCCTCTTTCCAGTCATCCCCTGTGAGTATCCTGAACCAGAAATATTTATAAAGAAACCCCCATATAGTTTTAATTTTGTAAATTAGATTTAAAAAGTTGTAAAATATGCACTTATATTATGTAACACGGAGAAAAAACGGTGAAAACACCATATTTTTATATAAACTTGATCTGTATAGAGTCTTAAGTTTCAAACACATTTTTACCACAGTTGGAAACTATTTCTCAAAACTTATTTTCCTAACAGATTGGGCCTTTTTTACATTTGTATTTATTTGTCTTTGTATTCTGTTTCTACGAATCTTTGTCTTGATAAATTCTTATGTATTTTCCCATCTATAGGTGTTTGAGGGTGTGTACAACAATGCCAGAATGCTTCATTTCCTCACAGCTGTTGTGGTAAGACATTTGGCTCATTTCTAATGTTCTTCTCAGATCATGAAAATTGTTCTAGAAGAATGATTATTTTCAACATCTCCTTTGTTACAATAATCATCTTATCTACATCTCAATTTCTCCTTTTGTTTGGTGTATTTTGCAAAATCCTACTTTTCAAAGTATTTTTAGCATCAACACCTCAAAAAGCTAAAAGTACAGCTACAATATAGCTTTAAAGTGTCAAATTTTTAAATATAGATAACATTGTTTATTTATTTTTGTAAATTAATACAAGTAAAACATTTTTGCAGGGATCCACTTGTGACATTAGAGTGAAGAATGGCAATGTGTTTGAAGGCATATTTAAGACACTCAGTTCTCGGGTAAGAAACTCATCTTCCTCACTCAAATTATTGAAGTACTGGAAATTACATCACTCCTACAGTTCTGTCTTTTATTTTTTAAAGTGTGAATTAGCTGTGGATGCTGTACATAAACGCAGCGAGGAAGAGGGATCGACATCAGTTCCACCTCGGAGGGAGGACATTACAGACACCATGATCTTCAGCCCATCTGATCTGGTTACAATGATCTGCAGGGACGTCGACCTCAGCTTTGCCACTAGAGGTACGAACACGTGTTTACTCAGACTGAAGAATGTCTGCTGAAACATAAACCTTAGACATTTTCTCACATTTTAATGTTTGATAACTTCAGGTTAAACTATTGGATTGTGCAAAGGCTTAACGCAGTTTGAGTCATGTTAAATGATTTATCAAATATTGTAAGTTATGATACACGATGTAATATTTAACTAAATGTATCCAAAGTCTCATCTTCAGCAAAAGTTTTAATACATGTTTAAAATACAGATGGACATACACAGATTTTATTTAGAGGATGGTTGTGTGACATCATTGGTTCTGAGTTCCTGGGACGTGCGAGAGCAGATGACCTGTTACTGATAGCACTGCTCTTCCTACACATAATGAAAACACTTGTCTTGAATTTAGGGTTAAATAACAAATAATTGTATATAGATCAGTGTTTAATTAAGGCAAAGAAATAACTATGTATCTAGTAACTTTAATTATAGGTTAAAGCAGTTGCCGCAACAGTTTCAACTTGAAGTCGTGTTGGTATTAAAAAACATTGGGATGGTATTAAAAAGGCATTAAAAGGTATTAAGTTTAACTTCAGAATTTCTGTATATACCCTGTCCTTCATAAATCTTGTAGTAAGAGAAGATGAAGATGTCTTCTCTTTTTCTGAAATATGGTTGAAATAAACTGTCTGACTCACCTAGGAGCTGCTAAAATGAAAAGTTTTATCTTTTTGTGCTTAACCATTTTTCCTGTGTTTGTGTTTAGACTCTTTTACAGACACAGCCATCAGCTCCAGCCGCATCAACGGAGAACATAAGGAGAAGGTTTTACAGAAATGGGAAGGAGGAGACAGCAATGGAGAAAGTTATGATCTTGACAATGATGCAGTAAGTTGTTTTTTCCTTTGATTAGCAGAGTGAGAGCCCTTATGGGGAAGTTGTTGAAAAAATGTTTATAAAAGGTTTTTCATGCATATAAGAATCAGTCAGGTTCACAGTAGGGTTGGGCAATAGTGGCAAAAAAATTCACGATTAATTGTGGTATTTAGCCAATAACGATTAATTTGACGTTTAACCCCCTGGAGTCCCTGGACACCCTTATGTCCTAGTCACATGACCATTTTATAGGGAGAAAAATGGCTCTTCGTAAAA